AATGCACAAGGACCAAAAAAACCCACAAAAGACTTGCAAAGAGTTAAACTAAGCGAGGATAAATGAGTTACAAGAACTGAAAAGGGTTTTGCATAAATAAAATAAAATACATATCTAAATGATCGTGAAATCAGATATAATACTACAAGAAAACACGTCATTTGCGACCTCCATATTGGTTGCAAAACGGTCGCAAAATAGGGTTTTGCGACGCTTTCACGACTAACTAAGATAGTCGCAAAAAAACTAATCTGTGACGGGTAAATGTCGCTGTAAATTTCCGACTAAAGAGGGACAAACTTAAGTTAGCGAATAGTTTGCGACTTGTTTTGTTCAAACGAAAGAGTTCTTGGATCGAATAGAGAGTCCCACATTAGTCGCAGACGATATATCTTTTAGTACCAATTTAGTCGCAAAAGAGTCTTAATAATTTGCGACCAATTTAAGACTCTCATTGTTGTGTAGCAAAAGAGTCTTCTATAAGTAACCATTTTGATACCAGGTTTGGAGTTTCTTGTAATAATGTTTATTTACACATTGGTCACATTTGTTAATTGGTTTGGTCACAGATTGGTTACATGTTAATAATCCCAAACCTGCAAATTCGCTTTCAAATGTTAATAATCCCAAACCTGCAATTCTGATTTCAAATGCTAATAATCCATCATTCAAAAACACTAAAAACCATCCTAACAAAGTATTATAGAGTACAAAAACATAAGCAAATAAAAGACTAGTTCATTGGGTTTGAAGCAGTGTTAGATATAGGAGAGGCTGGTGTGGTTTCAGTAGGTGCGAGTCCATTTGGTTGGATTGCTGCTTCTGTGGTTGTTGGAAGGGTGTCTGTTTGTGTGCCAGGTGGTATGATGACTGCTGGTTGCAGGAGTGGAGAAGAAGACATGAAGGCTACCAAGTCAGGATCCTTTTCTTTCAAAAAGAGGATGAGCTTCTCCAAGCTGGCGATCCGAGCTTGAGACGTGCGGTGCTCCGCATCACGTCTTGCATTTTCAGAATCTTGATCAGAGATCTTGCGCCGTAGCTGATCTTGAAGCTCAACAATTGTAATTGTAGAAGAAGAGCTCGCATAACTATCCTTCCTTTTTCCTTTGTGTAGGGTCTCCGCAAGAGATCCAAGGCCATAAGGGTTGCCTTAGTCATCTGTATGAGTACACTGAAACAAAAAACAAACATTCAGTAAAGTAAAAACATTCATTAAAGTAAAGACAAAAAACAAACATTCAGTAAACTAAAGATATAAATGAATTATCTTAAGGAAGATATCATTCATTTCATCAATGCTGAGTTCTCTAGGATGCTGAGTTCTCTAGGATGCTGAGAATGTTCAGAGAAAATCTCTGTAGTATCCTGACCCTCCTTTTCCAGTTCAGCCAATTTCTCTTCAAGTGTCTTCTTATATGACTCAGCTACTTGTTCAGACTTTTGATCCACAAAAGATCCATCAGCTCTAGTATGCCTTTCTCATAAATACTTCGCCAAGTGAAACTGGACGCCCCAACTCTTCCTCCTAAAATGAAAGACAAATAGATTATCAAGTGTAGAAATATTAGAAATTCTGTAAAAGTAAAGTGTTTGGATGGAAAGAAACATCTTACCATCTCTTGATGAACTTGGATAAAATATTTCTGACCGGCTAAGTGTTTGTGCACTCCAAGTCCGCCACGATCAGAATTTCAACATTGTGAAGCATTCTCACTCCTCTCTATAGCATCAACGGTTTTCCAATACTGCTGCATCTCAGTCCAAAGTATGTTACCAACCCAAGTTGGTTGTACACCTGTCTTCTTCACTTGAGTGACAATCCCTTTCATCCGTTTCTTGGTTATAACCAAGATTCCTGCTCTCAGAAGGGCAGTAATTCCAATATCCCAATTAAACTCCCGCTACATAACATAAAACAGTAAGTTAGTTAAAATATACTACAGCAAGAGAGAATGAAAGCTATATATATATGTGTGTGTGTGTGTGTGTCATTACCACAAAAGTCCTGAAATATCTCTCTCGTTTGTCTACTGGAGTAACCTTCCAGCTGTAGTAAGGCCCATCAAACTTCCTCCTAAAGATTCTGGAAATCGCTCGGGACAGCCTCCTGTTGTGCCGGTTAAACCTGTTACAATAACAGGCTATTAGTAGATAAAACAAACAACTTAGGACACTCTAATATACTCAACAGATTAGTTAAATAAACAAGACTCTATAATACTCAACAGATTGCAAGTACAGAAGATAAACGTATGAGGCTTGACTGTCCTCTTAGAATAAGGAGCAAGATGTACATATAAGCATATAGACACAGGGACTGTTTGATTATTGACATATAAGCATATTCAAATCCATCATTAAATCAAACATATAAGCATATTGACTGTTTTTGTGTAAACCAACTAAGGAGACATCTTAAGCTAATCAAGAATGCTCAGACTTATTCAAACAAGGCTCATACTTATTCAAAAACAATGCTCACACTTATTCAAACAATTCTCATATAGAATTCAAACAATGCTCAGACTAATTCAAAAACAATTCTCAGATTTAAAAAAATGCTCAGACTTATTCAAACAAGGCTCATACTTATTCAAAATCAATGCTCACACTTATTCAAACAATGCTCAAACAAAATTCAAACAATGCTCAGTCTTCTTCAAAAACAATTCTATCAGACTTATCCAAAACAATGCTCAGACTTATCAAACAATCCTTAGACTTATCAAAAACAATGCTCAAACTTATCAAAAACAATTCTCAGATTCAAAAACAATTCTTATTCAAAAACAATACTAGACTGAGGGACACAGAGTTTACACCACAATGTTTCAACGCCTGGGATTGGGTCTTTAGTCAGAAGTGGTAGATATTGTCGGCCTGGAAGGGATAGCAAACGATCCAGCATTTCTTGGTAGTCTTCATTTGGATTAGGGTTCTCTTGGTGATCTTCGTTTCCTACTTCATCCTCCTCTTCCTCTCCTAGTTCTTGGTTTTGTTGTTCAGGTATCACTTGGTGATTCGCATCATGTTCCGGTAGAGGCTGGGAGGAGGAGACGGTGGTTGTGGCTGATGATGCGGCTGAGGAGTAGGAGTCTGTCGACTGAGAGGACGAGTCGCATGGGATTGGGTCGTAGACTGTGTCACTGATGGGTTCGATGAATGAGAAGATGCTCCAACCCCACTCGTAGTGAGTGGTGGTCTCTGCCCAACATAGGTTCGGACTCGAGAGGCTACTGGTCTGCTGGTCTGGCCCCCTCCGCGGCTACTGGTCTGGCCCCCTCCAGCGGCTACTGGTCTGGTGTTCTGGCCTCCTCCAGCGGCTACTACTCTGGTGTTCTGGCCTCCTCCAGCGGCTACTGCTCTGGTGTTCTGGCCCCCTTCACGGCCTCGTGACAATTTACCTTTAGGCGCCATGAAAATCGCAGAATTGGACTGAGATTTGAGTCGAAATTTAGGGTTTGGGACTGAGATTCGAAGAATTGAGGAGATTTGAGAAGATTTGAGGAGATTTGAGGAGATTTGAGAAGAAGAATCGAAAATTGTTTGAGAGAAAACCCTAGATCGAATTTGGGGGAAAATGAGAAAATGAAGAATCGATTTTGTTTTAACCTAATAATTAAGTGTATTGGTCGCTCTTTAGTCTCAAAGTAGTGACAAACCAAAAAAATTAGGGGGAATCGATACCGCCTAAACACTTAGCCAAAATCATAGAAATTTCACAAACCGTAGCTAAATGGTCGCAATATTGGTCGGCAAATAGTCACAAGATACGTCCCAAAACAGTCGCTAAATGGACAAGGGTGTCCTACTTTTTCCAATCTCTCTCCTCCTTTTTCTAATATTTTATTATATTTTGTTGAAAAATCTCTAAGTAAGAAACTCCCAATGAAAATGTTCTAACAGATTTTAGATTCACATATTCAAAAGTAGCCGTAAAATAGTAATATAATATAAACTAAAATCGATATATTTGTAGTTCTGTCTTGCCGTTTCAAGAGCGTTGCTCTGTTCTTATATTTTTTAGATATATTGAGATAACTTGGGAAGAAAGAAATATAATGCATATCAAATATTGTAAATCGTCAACATCCGTTTATGAAGTAAATCCCGCCCATAAAATATTCTAGATATCCAAGTAGGATAAGGATTAAGTTTTATCATAGTGTGTAACTTAAGGGTAAATAAACTTTATCCTAGTTGTGATAGACTTGTAAAGAGATTTTCCCTTACTAACTTTTCACATAGCACCATTGTAGATATTTTGAGTTGGTTAATTAATTTGAAATTTCCAAATAAGAAGTTGTTGTTTTGTTATATTTTAAAATTATTTTTGACAAAAACCAAACTGAATCTAAATCGAATACCAAATCGTTCCAAACTGAATTTCTTAAAACCAATCCGAATTTATAAATAATTTTTATCGTTTAAGTTTTTATATTACTGATAAAGCAAAGACCAGAAAATCAAAATTACATCAAATTTCTTTCTTTAAGTAAAAGTATATCAACATTTTTTAAAATATGTTAATCCACGCGCAAGCTAGTTTCCATTAATTTGTTTTTATTTTTGGTTGGTCTTTCACCTATGGAAGCAAATATTTGGTTGGTCTTTCACATTGGTCATTAATGAACAATGGTATGCACAACCAACAGCTCTCTCCATGCGCTGAGTCTTCAAGTTCATCAATCGTAAAGTAAAAAAAAAGCACAATCACTGCTAGAGAGAGGAATATCTATTTAAAATTTAATGACTTTGTCGTTAGGTTTTGATAAACCTTGGTAAGACCTGATTATATTCATGATAATGATATATATTTTGGTCGATCTTTCATGGCCTATTTCAATATTATCTTAACAACAATTAAAAAAGAAAAAAAATCAGATAATGATATATATTTTGGTTTTTGGTGCACCTATTCCCGTTTAGTCTTGGACTTTGCTTAACAAATAAACCACACACGCATATAAATATGCATGTCCCATGACTACACAATCCATAGGTTGAACTTGTTGAAGCAAAAATCTTTTCTTAAATTATTTTCAATCTAAAGATCTTGAAAGCAAAGATGATTTCGAAGAAGATAACTTGGTTAATTATCTGTTCTTTTCTGTTGCTTCTTCTTCCAATCGCGTTTTCTAGGCCGACAAGAAACTTGGATGGAACAAGTCCAAGAGCTCCAACAGTGCAACAAATAAGAAACAGACATGGAACTAGAGAGGTGATAGTGGACAATGGTATTATTAGTGTCAGTTTCTCAAGTCCTCAAGGACTTATAACTGGCATCAAATACAAAGGAGTCAATAATGTTCTCAGTCCACATCAACGAGCTCGAGGGTACTGGGACATAACATGGCAAGGAGAAAAGACTCGTGGTGGCATAGATCGAATTGAAGGAACTAAATTTAGAATCATAACTCAAAACCATGAACAAGTGGAGATTTCATTCTCTAGAACTTGGGAGAGTGGTTCTGGTTCACATAATATTCCATTAAACGTAGACAAGAGGTATATTATACGAACAAATTCTTCAGGACTCTACGCATACGGAATCTTCGAGAGACTTCCCGAATGGCCAGAAGTTGAGATGGGTCAAGTTCGAATAGTATTCAAACTCGACCAAGATAAGTTTCATTACATGGCGGTCACGGATGATATACAAAGAGAGATGCCAACAGACAATGACCGCGATATTCATCGTGGTCATGCCAAGGCTCTTGGTTATAAAGAGGCTGTACAATTGATTCATCCTCATAACTCCATGTTCAAAGACCAAGTTGATGATAAATACCAATACTCATGTGAGATCAAAGACAACAAGGTGCATGGTTGGATCTCAACTAAATCCCACGTTGGCTTTTGGATTATCTCACCGAGTGGCGAATATCGCTTTGGTGGACCGATGAAACAAGAGCTCACATCTCATGTCGGCCCAACAGCCATTGCGAGCTTTATCAGCGGGCATTATGTTGGTACGGACATGGACACACGTTACAAAAGTGGTGAAGCGTGGAAGAAAGTCTTAGGACCTGTTTTTATTTACTTAAACTCCGGCCATGATTTATTATGGGAAGATGCTAAACGACAGTCTAAAGAAGAAGTTAAAGCCTGGCCGTACGATTTTGTAGCATCCTCTGACTTTCCTTCTCGTCGAGAAAGAGGAACCGTTACCGGTCGTCTTCTAGTCAACGACGGATTCTTGACGCCGGGAAGATTTGCTTATGTCGGTTTAGCACCACCGGGAGAAGCTGGTTCGTGGCAGACAAATACTAAGGGCTATCAGTTTTGGACCAAGACAAACGAAACCGGTTATTTTAAGATAGATAACGTTAGACCGGGAACTTACAATCTCTATGGATGGGTTCCCGGTTTTATCGGAGACTTTAGATACCAAAACCGTGTTAACGTAGCTTCAGGTTCAGAGATTAGAGTCGGTAGAGTTGTCTACAAGCCTCCTAGAAACGGTCCAACGCTATGGGAGATTGGTGTACCGGATAGAACCGCACGAGAATACTTTGTACCGGAGCCATACAAGAATACAATGAATCCTTTATATCTAAACCACACGGACAAGTTTAGGCAATACGGATTATGGCAACGATACACAGACTTATATCCAAACCATGACCTTATCTACACAATTGGAGTTAGTAAGTATAGCCAAGACTGGTTCTACGCTCAAGTCACAAGAAACAACGGTGATTCGACGTACACACCAACTACATGGCAGATTGTGTTTCATCTTCCATACGTGAACTTGCGAGGTAACTACACATTGCAGATAACTTTAGCCTCGGCTGCACGGGCTAATCTACAAGTACGGTTCAATAACGAATACACGAGGCCATTATTCTCAACGGGCTATATTGGAAGAGATAATGCTATAGCAAGACATGGAATCCATGGACTCTACCGGCTTTATAGCATCAATGTACCTGGAAGATTGCTACGAACAGGGTCCAACACGATTTATCTTCGACAATCTAAAGCATCAGGACCATTTGAAGGACTTATGTATGATTACATTCGTCTCGAAGAGCCTTCTAGAGTTTAGATTCATTTAGTAGTTATAATTTTGGTTTTGTTATTTTAACACTATTGGTTTAATGTGCCATTGATTTTTAAGTACTTTATTTAATTATTTCTATACAACCATGTTTCAATTAGTCCTCTGCATCTTTTTTTCTTCAAAGTTTATTCTTTAGCTGCTTTTTTTTTTGAATTCTGACAAAGTGACAAAAACGTAAGAGGACTAATTAACCGGTTTAGGAGTTAACCGATCCTGAACCGGACTGGATCTTAACCGAATCGGTTTGGGATATGAGGGTTAAATTCGTCATTTCGTTAATGACCTTCTTCTTTTTAGCATCGAGTTAAAGCTCGCGATTTGTTTCTCTCTAACTTCGTCCTCAATCTCTTGAATTCGTACTTCTGAGTTCTCATAGAGGTTTCGTCTCCAGTTTAATCTCTCTAGCGTCTTGGTTTATGAGGTAATCTGATTTCACACTCTTTCGTTAGGTTTTCTGATGATGACGAATCTGCCATTTTTGTTCCTCGTGAAAATTTGATTCAGATCTCTTCTATTTCTTCGATTTTGCATGATTCTGAATTTGTTTCTAATCCTTATGGCTATTAACTGTTCTTAATTGAATTAGAGTTGTTTCTAATCTATGAATTAGGGCTGAAACAAGACTTGTTTCGGCTGGCTAGGGTTTCTTATGTATATATTCAAGATTCTTTCGTAATCAATTTAAAATTCTTCTCAAGATTCTTGTTTATTTATCTGATAATCTGTTTTGTTGCTCTTTTTCTTGCAGCTCAAAGGAGAAACCCACTCTCGGGTATGTGAATTTAAAGCTTTTCTACAAATTGATTTTTTGTAGTTTGAGCCTTTTACTTATGTTTATACTTTGTGATTCGTCCATGGAAGTTGAAAACTTAGGTTCTGATATTTATGGTTAGTTTTCGTCGTTTAAACCGATTTAGCTATGATACTTCGAAGCTGTCTTCTATTGATTCTCACACTCTTTTCTGCTGAGGCTAATAATGTATTGAAGTACTTTGAAATGAATTATGAGAAGACTCTCTTTGCTTGACCCCTGATCTGGCTAGTGACTCTTTGAAGTTGTTCCATTTATTGTTTGAAATTGTTAACATGAGCATTAAGTTTAGTATGACTGAAATTATTGTGTTTTTTTTTTTTTGACTTAGGAACTGCTTGTATTTATATATTGTTCAATTTTGTGTGTAGAGGTACGCGGATTAAGACCCGCAAAAGGAATATTGCTGCTCCCCTCGACCCTGCTGCTTCTTCTGATGCTGTAGTTCAGATTTATCTGGATAATGCTGGTGATCTGGTACTTCTTTTCGTGCTTTAAGTATTTATTTGTCTTTTTTAATTTGCTTGTAAAATGTTGTGCACCTTAACTTATGACTTTGTTTTTGCTTTCTCCTAGGAACTTGTTGCCAAAAGTTTAGAATCATCTGATCTTAATTTCTCAAGATACGGTGATATTTTCTTTGAGGTAATTCTCCATATATCAATGCTGTCTCAGCTGTCTTCTATTACCTATGTATTTCATGTCTTCTTAAGAGATATTTTCTCATGTCCAGTTGAACAGTTATATTCATCTGGTTGGGTCCATTTATTGTTAATCACTTCCCAAAAATCAGTGAAATATGGTTTATATATTCTCTGAAGATGGTGTAATAGGAGATCTACCTGACTGTTATGTTCTTCACGATCTTTGGATATTTGATTTCATTCAATATCATGGGATACTACTAGTTTTTTGTTTTCTTGTATCAAGTGACTTTTTGTTTTGCTCGTCTTTCCGAGATTATGAATTGATGGATCTCTCTCTTATCAATTAAGGTTGTTTTCATTGGAGGACGTACACAAACTGGTTCAGTGAAATCTGATGAAGGGGAACGCCACCCTTACTCTATAATCGACTGTGAACCAACGCGTGAAGCTATTTTACCATCAGTTGTATACATACAGAAAATTTTGAGGAGGAAAGCCTTCCTTATAAAGAACCTTGAAAATGTTACGCGGAGATTCTTGCAGTCACTGGAGCTTTTTGAGGAGAATGAGAGGAAGAAGCTTGCAATATTCACAGCGCTCGCATTTTCCCAGAAGCTCTCAGGATTACCTGCAGAGACTGTCTTCCAGCCATTGCTTAAGGATAATCTTGTTGCCAAAGGGATAGTTCTCAATTTTGTAACAGACTTCTTCAATGAATATTTGGTTGAGAACAGTCTTGATGACTTGATTTCTATTCTGAGGCGTGGCAAGATGGAAGACAAACTCTTGGAGTTCCTGCCACCCACAAAGCGGACTACTGAAAGTTTTGCCGAGCATTTCACGTGAGTTTTAATCGCTTGAAGTTTGCTGCATTCAATATTATAATGTTTGGTTCTTTTGTTACTTGTTACAGTTTCCTTGCTCTTCTGATTCCCTGCATTTCTCTAATTTTTACTCGTTTAATATTGATATGAATGCCATTGTTAAGATCCAATAGGTTAACTTTTTTGTCAATATTTTGTTGAATTCAACATTCCCAGGTCCTCTGTCTTCTGATTCTGTATTAGTTTATCACTTGTCTTTAGTCGTCTCTGCTTTCTTAATGAATCTGTAAAATTGATATATGTGCTATATTTTTTCTTCTGATTTTAAGCAAGGCAGGATTGACAGCTCTGGTAGAGTACAATGAAAGGAAAATATTTGAGGTGAAGCTGAAGGAAATCAAAGCGGTCCTTACGAGCCAAGTGACAGAGGAAATAAACGTAGATGAAGTGATTGAAACGGTGAAGCAACAAGTGAAAGATGCAAAGCTGCCAGAGATTGAGGTTGTGCATGTGATCTGGGATGGGATAATGAATGCTGTGCAATGGTCTGGGAAAAACCAGCAGCAGAATTCAAATGCTGTATTACGCCAAGTGAGTTGATTTTCTGTTTTGTTTTGAGAGTTATTGGAAGTATGAAGCAAGATTGTGTTGTTTGGTCTTAAAGCTAAAGCTAGTCGCTAATTGTGTGGTATAGGTGAAAACATGGGCGCCGCTTCTGAACACGTTGTGCTGCAGCGGGAACATGGAGATGGAACTGATGTACAAAGTACAGATGCAATGCTATGAGGATGCAAAGCTGATGAAAGTGTTTCCAGAGGTAGTGAGGTCTCTGTATGAACTTGATGTGCTCGCTGAAGACACCATTCTCCACTGGTATCGCAAAGGGACCAACCCAAAGGGCAGGTACTATATTTGATTTTTGCAAAAAGAAGGTTAATAATAGGATTCTTAGTAATATATATGTAATGATGGTGTGTGTTGGTTTGCATTGCAGGCAAGCGTTTGTGAAGGGATTGGAACCGTTTGTGAATTGGCTGGAAGAGGCCGAAGAAGAGGAGTGAGTGAGAGACACTCTGCTTTTTTTTTTTTTTCACTCTCTTTTAATAAAACAAACAAAATCTTTTACTTTTCTTAACGCAAAATTCAGATGCTTTTAAGGTTTTGATTCCTACATTGTTGGTGTGATTCTTATTAAACAGATTATTAAGAATTGTTTGTTGGTTTTGGTTTATAGAGAGCTTATGTCTTTAACCTCTTTGTGAGGTAATAATAATACAGGAATGTCATCTTGAAAAATACTTGCCAAAAAATAAGAAGTTGAGAAAATAAAAAAACCTTATCCAAAAGTCAGGAGATTTTGTTATTTAAAAGGGAACCACAAAAAATTTGGGCAAGGAAGACATTAAGCCGTTGGCCACACAATCAGATATTATAATGGAAATACACTCCGATGACTACTTCTTCCTTCCTCCTCCCTGCTTCTCCTCCCTCAGCCGCCTTTCTCCGGCGGCGCTTCTTCCGCCACTCTTGGCTTTCCTCTAAGATCCACCACCGTCTTCCCCAAGGTACATTACTACTCTTTTCTGTATCAGCTCTCACCACTTCTCTGATTTTTCTATATCTTTGGATTATTCTGGAATCTTAACTATTATGTGATCTTATTATATTTTTGAATGATACTTCTGCTATTTATTTATTTCTTGATCCCTGTTGATTGTTCTTTTTTTTCTTAGTTATGAATGATTCCACCAGGACTGAAGTATCCGTTGATAAATCAGAAGTAGACAAGCTTGTTGACAGGATTGATTTTGGGGAATTATGCAATGATTTTGAGTGCACAAGTAGCCCGCAAGTGGAATCCACAGCCAGACAACTTGTTCGCGACATTCTTGAAATCAGGGAAGGAAATCGTGCCTTTGCATGCTATGCAGTTTCCGTTAAATATAAGGTACATTTCTCTGTCACATTGTAATTTAAAATGTACATTGCTTTCAAATAGATATGATTAGTCGAAAAGTTGGCACTGGTTATTCCACTTTGCTTAAAATGCGCATTCGAATATGTGGTAAAAGGAGTAGTGTTTATCTTGTGATTGTATTCTTCCAGCTTTAAGCAGTCTAGAACAAATTTGTAGGAACCTCTTGTCTTTTGGGCAGTTCATGCAACTAAATCAGACTTCTTATTACCTGTTTTGAGTAGCTTGGGCTATTTTCTACGCTTGAAATGATGTCTAGTTCATGAGCCTGATAAGATTGTTCTTACGAGTTGCTGTTGAAAAATGAAGCACAAAATTTTGTTTATAGTCAAAAAACCGATTAAAGGGATGCTATCTATGTTAGGTGAAAAGGATTTATGCCTAATAAGCTAATGGGTGTAGGAAACATTTCTTTTAGACATGGTCCCGTAAAATTACAACACTTTGTTCCAACATTTCTCTCGTGATGTTCTGATATTCCTTGACAGTAAGTAAATACATCGTGATTGATAGTGATTTCAGGATCCGGTTAGAAGTTTTACAGGTCGTGAGAAGTATAAAAGACCAATGTGGATAACTAGTGGCTTAGAGAATCCTACCGTGGTAAGAACTGATCTCAACCTTCAACAATTTTTTGCATTTTCTAATCCTTTCGGTTCACAAGTAATGTGATTCTCTTCCCCTTATTTGTAGACGGTACAGGAGATGGTAATGTTATCGACCAGCGTCTTGCGTATTAAATGGACAGTCAAAGGAAAACCCAAATCTTTTCTTGCTGCTGTAAGTGGAGATTTGATAATCAAAGTCAAATCTGAATTTACTCTTAACCAGATTAGTGGCCAAGTGATTGAGCATGAAGAGTCTTGGGACTTATCTTCATCATCCCCTATTTCTCAAGCCTATTTCTGGACATCCCGCCGCCTCTTTGCTGCTTCTGAATCCGCAAAAGATTTAGGCGATGTCACAAAAGACTTGACCGCCAATTTGACTACTCGAACAGAGGACACATATATATATCGCGATCCAACCGATCCAAATAAGGTCAGTTTCAACTAAAAACACTATTAGATATTTCTTGCTTAAACCATATAGTCAATTAATCAGTCTGATTTGAAACAAACCCGGGAGACGCTTGACACAAGGCTACATATATAGTCTTTCTTGCAAACTAAGAGAATGTTAGTTGTGGTGATGCAGTTTTTCCAAAGAGACGACAGCTTTGAGAGAGATGTGTATCAAATTGCACTGTTTCTAGCCATCGTCTATTTTGTTGTACAGTTCTTGAAGAACACTCTCTAGTTATTCTCTCTCCCATCTTCTATAACAGATATGTAAATGCCTATATACTGTTGTATATGATCTGTATAAAAAACTGAACAAGAAAAGAGATGTGTATGTTTGTGTTGGAAGGAAGACTATTAAAATGATTTTAATCTTTTTTAAGCATCCATTACCAAGACAATGCATATATAAACCAGATGAATGGTCTCTCTTTTTACTATGCTAATGAAGTAAAGCCATTGCGATCAATGTTGACAAAATTGTAAGAAGCTTTCCGATCGTCAAAAAAGGAGGAGCCGAGGAAAGATTGTCTGCGCCAACCGAGTATACTCCTCCTGATCCGTCTTTTACTTTGATGCTTGATGAACCTTCAACATGAAATGCATTTGTTTGTATGAGAAAGAAAGGATGCAGAGTTTGCTACTTTTATTGGGTTCTAGAGATACTTACAGTTATGATCTGCCCATCCGATCACCTCGTTTTCCAAATCGTATACTACTAACTTGTTCGAGAGCACCAAGTCTACAAAATGATAAGCTAAATGACTATCGTAGAGTGAGTAACATCAAAAGAAAGGTTTGATTAGAATTTTGAATTTTACCTCCTAAGAGAATCACTTCTGTTCTTTCATCAGTTGTCAGTTCACCAGCTTGCCACCCAAAGCAGTACAACTCTTTCTGTTAGCAAAAAAAGAGAGACAATTTCCATCAATTATGCAAAAGCAAAATCATCATAACTCGAAACATCCTGCTAGAACATCTCGAAACGTTTTGTTGAAATCTCGCAAGCAAAGTTTCTGTCTATTGACTTACCTCAAGTGTGAAAAGATAATCATGCGGATAAACGGTAAGTTTGACAGAGTCCTCAAACTCAAAACTTACTGGTGGGAACGCCTCATCAATGCTGCGAGTTTAAGGAGGAAGAGCTTAGCATATATATATATTACACACTAAAGTTATATAGGTAATGATGCATGCATACTACTTAAGAAAGGCTCGATTTATCGGTATCTAAAAGAGAATGGTTCGGAAATAAACACGGTAGGGGAAAGAAACAAGCCATCTTACTTTTCACTGAAGCTGAAACATTGGAAGGTGTCCTCTACTATGTGAAGTTTTACAGGTTGACGAGCAAGAATCTACAAATCAAAAACTCATGTCAGGATTGTGATTCACACAAACTAGAAATAAACACTAAAATGAGCAAAGAAAGTTACCGTTTCTATTAGGGAGTCATAAAGAACCTTTGGAAAGTAAGCCAAAGTTGTACCACTATCAACAATGGTTCCTCCGTTCCTCAAAATACTTGGTGGAAGGTCAAGAGCAGTTCCATCCACATCCATTCCCATCAACATTACATTGTAATGCATCCTAAAATCGTTGAGAAACACATGTTAGCGGTCGCTAAGAAAGTCTTCGTACAACAGCAACTACTCCTACTCTAGCTTCTTGATGGAAAGAATAAATAGACTTGAGAAGACATAAAACGTACTGATTAGGTACCATAGGGGTTGTTTTAACTTTGGGAGAATCCACAACACCAACAGCAAAAATCCCACCTCCTTTAACATTATCTAAGCAATGCGAAAAAACTCTTTTCGCATCGCCCGTGGCAGCTAGTTGTGAAAGGACAGAGGTATTTGATTGTCCAAAACCCATAACACCATCAACTGCTGAGTCACTCTTCCCAAGTTGTCCAGATTGATCACTTCCACACCTGTCTCAAAGAAAAGCCCTTATGAGAAAAAAAAAACATCACAAACCATAACTCACACAAACAAAAGATAAGGAAGATATTAAGCTCACCCGAATACAACTTCTTGACCAAGTGGTCCGGTTTGAAGATCTCCAGTAACTTGTTCTAGAGTTAACTTGTCCCTTATAAAGTTACCTTCACTTGTACTCTCATCCGCATAGACAATGTGATAACTACATCCGACAGCGGGTTGACAGCTATCCGATTGCGAAATGAAAGAGCAAAAATCATCATCACAACCAACCTTCTTCGAAGTCGAGGAAGCATTCATGTCGAACAATGATAAATGGAACTGCATTGGCAAAAAAAAAAAAAACAAAGATGATCCATATGTGTTACCAATAGACAGTAAATGAATAAGAAGAGGAAGCATTACATTCAAATTAGTTTTTGAGGGACATTTGGGACACGGCTTGCAATTGACCCAAAGTATATCACTTCCTGTATCAACTTGTACATGATATTCTTTTGGTGGCGACCCGAGCTTGATTTTAGTGAAGTATAAACTAAAACAAAATCAAGAAAATGTAACAGCATTAGTACCTAAACTTATGCATTGTCCCAAATGATACATAAACTATGTCGTAAACCAAAAAAAAATATACGATTACAACCAGATCGCGTTATAACTATCAACTTTGCGGAATTGCGGTTGTATCTAACATAGTATATAACGGAAATGAATCTTTTCCGCTTATTGCTAATTGGTTTTGAGTCGGAAGCTGTTTATTATACATAAAACGGTAGCATTTTAGATAGAAAAAGAGAGGGAAAAAGAACAAAACCCGACAGAGTCTACGCGGCTGTCTCCCCCTAAAGGGAGATCAATGGAAGCGAGCATCCGAGAGTGGCGGCGCGTGTCATGAGACTTGAAATGCTCGAGCTTCTTCTCTTTCCCTGCGAACTTGTGTTGTACCTTAAACACGAAATTGCCTGATGCAAATTCGATCACAATTACGAAAACTGCAACCACAATGCACAATTTTCTCCTCAGTTCCATCGCCTATAATATCTTAGATATCTCCGGAGGAGAAAATTTGAGATTTTATTTGAATTAATGAATTAAATTCTGGTGATTTCTCTGTTTCATATTCAGACAAAGAAACGGCAAAAGAAAACACAGAGACGCGTTTTCAAAGACGGATTTAGAAAAGAAAATTGCCAAATGTGATGTTTGAATTTTTTTACTTTTCATTTATTACAAACCAATGCTTTTGTTTTTATTTCTTTTAAACCGATGCTTATATTAGTAAAGAAAATCCATTTTGGGAATACAATTGTCAAACTTGAGGAAAAATGGGTAGAAAAACCCTCACCTTTTTTTAAAACATAGAAAAAACCTTCAACTTTTTTTATGGGTTTTAAAACCTCCATCTTTTCATAAATGGTGAAATAAACCCTAGTATTAATAAACTTAATTTAAATTCAAAAAAATCGTTATACTAAAACATATATAAATAGAAACAATTTGATTTAGGATGTTTCTTCTAAAATTCTAGTTTACAATATTTTTCTAAATTGAAAATATGTAAGTCATGATGTAAAAAAGTTAATTAGTGAAGTTTATTCGGTGTGTTACAAAAAATCTTCAACATGAAACCAAACAGATTTTGTTACGAATTATATGTAAATTCTTATATAGAAACCGAGTATGAGTTTATATTAATAAAGGTTTATTAGGTTCGATCACACAAATGTACTAACGTAAAACCAAACCAAATTTTATAATACTACGAAAAGTACATGAATTTCCACATCAAAATATTTTCATTGGACAAACTAAATAAGATTTACTAACAATTAATATTTCTATATATATTACGATATATTCAAATATAATATAAATTATATTTAATTAATCGTTATTTAACTATATTTTTATCCAAAAACTGAACACTCGAATAAAAAAAAATCAAATGTGATATCCTATAATTTTTTGTAGTTTATATAACATAACTTCTAATTGTAACAAAAATAATTTGCCTAATCTCAACTAAATGGTGAATAAATGTTCATAACGCAAAAACCCTAATTTAAGAAAAAAAATCGTAAACTCGAATATGAAATAAAAAATCATCAATTAAATTATTTTTGTTTCTTACTGTTTTAATATAAAGATTTTTTTTAAAAATAAATTGATTTTATTAATATTAGGGTTTATTTAACCATTTATAAAAAGGTGAGGGTTTAAAAACCCATAAAAAAAAGTTGAGGGTTTTTTCTATGTTTTTAAGAAAGGTGAGGGTTTATTTACCTATTTTTCCCAAACTTGAAGAATTCAATATTCAATAAATTAAGGTAAAATGATAGAATGAAAGAATGAATGGTGATTATAAACTTTAAAACTAAAATACTCCCTAATTATTTAGAAAATTTGTTGGGTTAAATAAAGTTGATAAGAAAACGGTGATAAATTATAGTATAATGTTTTAAAATGATATTAACTAAAAATAAGTGTGGAAGCCCCCTTGGCCCATTGGTTGATCAAGGGTTAATTAATGCTTCTACACCCAGAGGTCTGGGGTTCGAGTCCCAGCTACTGCGATTTATTAATATATTTGCAGATTATTGGAGGCAAGTGTGCATGAGATCTCCAGCGATGTACAATTATAGCCGTTCGCCAGGATTCTACGCAGAGAGGGAAGTGTCCATCAAGAGCATGAAGAAGGAGGTGAGCATGAAGAAGGAGGTGAAAGAGGAGAATGAAGAAGGAGGTGAAAGAGGTGACGTCTGTCGTGGATCTAATAAGGGTCGGAAGGAATTGTCAGTTGTAGAATCGTCTATGTAACCGTTCTCATAATTTGCAATAAATAATAAATCTAGAGGAAAAAAAAAAAAAACTAAAAATAAGTTTTTGTCTTGTGGTATCAATCCTAATGAATTTAATAAGATAAAACTTAGAAGATAGTTTGGTCGCAATTACTTTCTTCATTTCGAATGTTCTGAGCGAATTTGGAAGCTCTCAAAAAGCTTGTAGAAGCTCCTAAAGAATTTGAAAGCTATGGACAGCTTCTGAAAAATTTCTTTAGTTTTTAGTGAAAATCTTTACAAGGAAGTGGTATGGTGTTTCTTATATATAGAAAGATCAAGTGGGGGTGAGTACAAGGACGCACCGATTTTATTTCTGAAAATCTATACTATTAATTGGGAATCACTCAAACATAAGTAACCTTATTTTGGTAGATTAATTACAAAGAATGCCATTGGTATTTTTAAATTTGAAAAAAAAAATATAATATCCATTTGATATTTGTTTTTTATATAAAACAAAATCCAAAATTAAATCAACAAATTAATAACTACCCAATATTTATGGAAATTGTTTGAAATAGTTCCCATAAAATAAACAAATTAATAACTACCCAAGATTTATAGAAATCTTTTAAAGTAGTTTCCATAAAAAATCTAACTATTAATTTCAAAATTGTATATATGTAAACTTATTTAATTTCATAATATATTTTGAAATATTCCGGAAAACAAAAAAATCAATTTAATATCATCATATAATTTCAATTTTAATTTCTTTCTTTAAGAAAATATACAAATAAATTCTGATTAATGGAAGTCCTTTTTTTTGCAATTGTAGATATATTAACTTATTTATTTTGGCAAGGTAATGTTAGATATTTCCGGAAGCGACAGTCCAATTTAATATAATTGAAAAATAACAAAGCATAGTTTATTTTTTATTTTTAAAATTTCCATAATAGAACTATACTAATTGATTTTGATTAGTTTAGATGGAAGAAATAAAAGCAAATTTGATTATTCCAATGTTTTAAGAAACAATTATTATATTTCCCAAATATAATATAAACTAGATATTTTGTATTTTGAAATATAGAATATTCCTCGAATAAATTAGAGATTTTAGATCCGTCAAAATCTCGAAATATTTTGTGATTTGAATGCAATTCATAAGCCCTAAACAATCCAAACTTTCATCTCATGTTTTGATTTATTTAATTAAATATAATAATTTTAAAAAATCAGTAAATATATATTAGGCTAATAAGGCTTTATTAGTAGCCTATAAAATGTTGCCCACTACATAAAAAATAACATATGTAACATATGTATCACTACATAAAATTGTCAGAGCATATAATAATATAATCAGTTTAAAGATTAATTAAGAAAATTATTATTACAACAATTAAAAAATTATCATGTGTTTTTTTCTCATGGTTAACACACTATTGTTTTAAAACATTTACACACAACTCTTCACTAACCATAATTTTTTCCATTTACACCAAACTATTAACAGTGGCGGAGCTAGAATTTTAGTTTATAGGGGTCAAATATAATTAATTATTTTTATTTAGTTATATATTAATATTAAATCACTTATTTTTAAACTAAATAAAATATGTCTAAGAGCAATTTTGAAAAATAGGTTTGGAAAACAAATAGAATATGTCTAAAAAAAATTAATATGACCACGCGATTTTAGAGATTTGTAGCCTTTTTTAAAAAAATACACAAAACAAACATAGAAAATGAATTAATGCTAAATGAAAAATAAATATGTGAGGGGTCAAATTAAGGAATCAATTGATTGCATGGGGGTCATTATGAAAACTTTAAACCAAAATATCCATAAATTATCATGAAACTTATCTTAAAAAAACAAAAATCATAAATGTTATGGGGGTCAATTGACCCCCCTCCCTCTACACTGCCTCCGCCCCTGACTATTAATACACCACATAAAATAAAATTGTTTTTGTAACACTACTGTATATCAATAAAAACTATAATATTTTCACATTTTATATAATTTTTTACTATTTTTAGTTTAAAATTTTTAAGATTTACAATTTTATAAAATTTACCCCGCACGAACGTGCGGGTCCAGATCTAGTTTTAGGGTAAAAAAGAAAGAAAATTTGATTTACAGAACATATTTTCGTAACTTTGAAAAGGTAGTAACCGAGAATCTTAACAATTAGATGATCTAATCCCAGCCGAGGTGTGAATTTTTGATGAACCTTCACTAAGTAACAGCCATTAAAATTTTTTAAATTGATGACATCAGCAGACCAAAAAATCCTAGAAATCACCATAATTTCACAAAAAAAACAATAAAATGTTTATTTCTGAATTTCGTGGAAGGACGTCAGTATTGAATATTCAACGAAGAATCGAGTTCCTTTAGAAATATAATCCAAATATCCCATTTAGTTATCAAGTGAGTGTGAGGTCTCGAATCCTTTGCTCATTTGATTTCAAAATAAAGCTTCTTTCCGTTAATTCTTAGATTTTGAGATGGGTTGGCTGAGGAAGAAGAAGAAGAAAAAGCCAAAATCCGATGTAGTGTCCGATGTAGTGTCCGATATAGTGTCTGAGAGAGGAGCCAAGTTGTTAGAAGATCTGATCGAATGTTGCGATGGCATATCCAATCCCATCAAATTCTTCTCTGCTGATGAGATCCTCAAAGCCACCAACTATTTCAGCAGCTCTAATCGTGTTTCCTCCGACTCATCAACACTTTCAGCGACTCTAATTCTTGATTCTGATGAGATCCACAAAGCCACCAACACTTTCAGCGACTCTAATCGTGTTTCTGGATTCGATTATTACTACAAATGGTATTCAGGTAAGAACGAGAACCATCCCATGATACTCATCAGGAAAGATTTTGGCTTTAATAGCTTGGGAGTAGATCATTTGTGCCGGGACATAGCCGTTTCATCGATGGTGAGTGGTCACAAAAACTTTTTGAAATTGGTTGGATGTTGTCTTGAGTCTGAACATCCAGCCATGGTTTATCATGGTGTTAAGAAACATTATCGATTAGAAATAAGTCAACAGTCGTGGAAAAGGAGAATGAAGATAGCTGAAGATATGGCTACTGCTTTAGCTTACCTTCACACTGCATTCACAAGGCCCTTCGTATATAGGAGTTTGTCTCTTCAGAATATCTTATTGGATGAAGATGGGGTTGCCAAGCTAATAGATTTTACTTACTGCGTCTCAATTCCAGAAGGAGAAACATTTGTCCAGGTTGACCAAATAACGGGAACATATGGTCACATGGACAAGGAATACTTATCGACTGGCTTAGTCTCCGAGAAAACGGATGTCT